GACAAGAACCACATGATCATCCAATAAAAGTAGAAAAAGACTTCAACAAAATCCAGCATCGATTAATGTTGAAAATGCCAGAGGAACTAGTTATATAAGGAACTTAGCTCAATGTTATAAAGGCTGTATATGAAAAACCCAAAGCCAACATTGTGTTGAACAGAGAACGATTGAGAACATTTCTTCTAAAATCAGGAACAAGCCAAGGATGTCTGCAATCACCTCTTCTATGCAACATTGTTCCTGAAACTCTAGCCAGAGTATCAGGTATAAAAAAGGAAATCCAAGAAATAAATGGGAGAAAAAGTGAAATGATGTGTTTTCTGATGACCTGATCCTACAACTAGAAAACTCAAAAACCCCAACCAGAAGACTTCTAGAGCTCACAAACAAATTCAAAAAAGCAGCAAGATACAAGATCAACATTCCTAAATCAATAGCTTTCCTATACACCAATAATGAATTTTCTGAGAAAGAAATAGGGATAACTATCCCATTCATGATAACCTTAAAAATAAAATACTAACAGAGGAGGTGAAACACCTCTGCAGTGAAAACTGCAAAGCCCTGAAGAGAGAAATTGAAGAAGACCTTGGAAGATGGAAAGTCCTCCATAATCTTGATAGGCAGAAACAATGTTGTCAAAATGATTACACTAACAAAATCACTCACAGATTACATACAATCCCATCAAACACCAAAGAGATTTTTTTCATAGAACTAGAAAAATAACAGTTCTAAAATTTATTTATAAATGTAAATAAAAAGAATAAAAGCAAAGTAACCAAAGCAATAATAAGCAAGAAAAGCAATGCTGGAGGCACCACAATACCTGATCTCAAATTATACCACAGTGATACAGTAACAAAACAGCCTGGTATTGGCGTTCAAATTGACATGAAGACCAACAAAATAGAAGACACAGAGACCAGCCCACATAGGCACAGGCATCTGATAATCAACGAAAGTGCCAAAAACATTTGTTGGAGAAAAAACAGACTCTTAACAAATGGTGCTGGGAAAACTGGATATTCATATGTAGAAAATGAAACAAGATCCCTCTCACCCTGAACAAAAGTCAACTCAAATTGGATCAAGGCCTGTAGGAAGGAGGCCAGAAACTTTGCAACTGTTAGAAGAAAACAGGGGCTCAATGCTACAATATATTGACACCAAGTTCCTTAACAAGACCCCTGAAGCTCAAGGAAACAAAAACCAAAAAAAAAAAAAAACCAAGAATCAATAAGTCAGACAGCATCAAATTTTAAAACTTCTGCACAGCAAAGGAAACAATTAGGAATATGAAGAGAGAGTCTGTAGAATGACAAAATCTTTGCCAGCTACTCTGCTGATAGGGAATTAATAACCAGAATATATAAAGAAATAAAAAACTTAATTACCAAAAACAAATAATCCAATCAACAAATGGGCAAAAGAAAAAACAAATGGCCAACAAATATATTAAAAATTAATGTTCAACATCCTTAGCAATCAGAGAAATGCAGATTAAAAGTATATTGAGATTTCATCTCACTCTAGTTAGAATGGCAATCATCAAGAATACAAATAATAAATTCTGGCAAGGATGTGGGGAAAATGGCACAGTCCTGCATTGTTGGTAGAACTATACATTGGTACAAACACTTTGTAAAACAGTATGAAGGTTCCTCAAAAGACTAGAAATGGGTCACCATATGACCTAGATATCCCACTCCTTGATATTTATCCAAAAGAACTAAAATCAGCATACTCGAGTGATGTAGGCACATCCAAATCTACAGAAGTACAGGTCATAGAACCGGCCCAGGTGCCCACGAACTGATGAATGGATAAGGAAAATGTGGTCCATATTCACCATGGAGCTTTACTCAGCCACAAAGAAGAATGAAATTATGGAGTTTGCTGGTAAATGGATGGAACTGAAGAACATAAGGCTAAGTAAAATAAGCCAGATTCAGAAAGTCAAAGGTTGAATGTTTTCTCTTCTATGCAGAAGCTGGAGAAAAGTGAGGGGGAAAAGGGGAGGATATAGGTGGATCTCATAAAAATAAAAGGGAGATCAGTGGAGTAGAGGAGGGGGATAAAGAGGGAGAGAGAGAGACAGGAAAAGGAAAGAACCGCAGAAAGAACTTGACCCTATTATGCTGTACCCATATGTGAATATACCACAGTGAACCTCACCTTATGTATATACACAAAGTGCCCATTAAAAAAAACAATAAATACATAGAAGCAAGATCAGTAGAGTAGAGTATGGGGAGGACTAAGGGAAGGAAGTGGGGAGGGAAAGAGCAAGTAGTAGGTACTGAAATGGCACAAATTATATTCCATGCATGCATAATTATGTCAGAATGAATCTCACTGTTATGTGTAACTATAATTCACTATTAAAAACAATACAAGAAAAAAGATGATATAGCCTGAATAGGTGTCGGTGTCCAAACACCTTGGAGAAAGAAACTTTGAAGGCTATAGATGCAAGTTCAAAACAAGAGAGAACTTTCTTGCTATCTATTGCATGGATTGGGCTCACTTAGACTGGTATGCATCCCTGGAATGCTATGAAGAGGTGTGTGAACGTTGCTCAAGAATGATGTCTATTTGATCTGACTTGGACTAGGTGGCTCCCAGCTCCATTCTAACTCAAGGGTTAAAAGTGCTAACTACAGCATTACCTTCCATCCCCACCACTTACTCATCGACCTCAGGCAGGTTATTTAACCTTTGCTGAATCTTTCTTTCCTGACTTGAGGATCAGGAAGATCAGATACATTTCTCAGGAATTGTCTTAAAAATCAGCTTTAAAATGCACAACAAGGTCCTTAGTATAGTACTTGGGTACATGATGGTTTTTCAAAGGAAGGCTTGTGTCTCTGCAGCTTTCCATTCTCCCATCTTTAACAACTCTTTCAGGCATGAGCGTGTGACCCCATAACAACTAATGAGATACCCTGAGACTTTCGCTGAGTCTTCTTGCTTAATGGGTTTGAGGCTGA